GGCCCCGGAAGTCTGCCTGTCCCCAGCCCTCCTTGCACCTGGGCTGACGCTGGCAGCTGGGCACCTGCAGCTGCTCACCTGACCCAGGAGGCTGCACTCCCCTCAGGCCCTTTCGTGGCACCAGCTGTTGCCCAAGACCTGGGCCGTGGCCGCCCTGGAAAGGAGGCTTCGCCAGCCGCAGCCAGCCCTGCTCGGGCTACACATGCTGGTGGCCCACTCACCCTGCTGCTGTTCCTCCACTCCTCATCTCTCAGCCCCTTCAGTCAGCATCACCCCCACATGGACGCTCTGCTGACCCACCTGTCCAGCCTCCCCTCCAGATGCTGACAGCAGGATCCCCCTGAAGCCTCCTTCCTTCCTTTGAAAGGTGTCTCAGGGTGAGTCTGACTCTCAGCCCTCACCAGCTCGAGGTCGTGTTGCCGCACGGCCCCCTAGAGCCCCGTGGGACCCATCGTCCACCAAGCACTCTGCATGTATCCCTCCTCTTGGAGGACCTCCCACGGCCTTCCCTGCCCATCCACCAAGATGGACACTGGGGCCCTCAGACCCCACACTGGCCAGGTACCGCCCTACAGATGAACACGGCTCCTGGACTCTTTCTCTTTTTAGAGACAGGGTCTTGCCCAGTTGCCCAGGCTGGAGCGCAGTGGTGTGATCAATCAGAGCTCACAGTGGCCTCCAACTCCTAGGCTTGAGCAATCCTCTTGCCTCAGCCTCCCCAGTAGCTGGGATGACAGGTGCCACCCCACCCTACTCTCCCCGCCTCCCTCTCACCTGCTGCTGTCCTTTGGTGCCTTCCCAAACAGCAGCTTCTGCAGAGAGCCAAAGAGATCTCTGATGCAGAAAGTGACCAGAGCGTTGAACACTGCAACAAAAGGGCCACAGATGCACTCACAGGACAGAGGATGCAACAGAGAGCCCGAGTCCCAGGGCCCCTTGCCAGGCTCACCAGCACTGTCTGTGACTTGGAATTTCCTGGCTTCAGCACTTTCCCGGTCTCCTTGGGTAGTGGCCACAGCTGCTCGGAACGCCTGCACAACTTTATGGAACAGCTTTGGAGTGAGGTGCTGCTGAAGGGGCGAGAACACCAGGAGCACTGTGGGGGGGTGTGGCCCAAACACTGCCCGGGGCAGAGGGCAGGGCAGCAGCTCCAGAGAGAAGGGCACCCTCACCCTCAGACACAGGGCAGTGGTAGGGGCAGGGTCACGGAGTCACATACTGGCAACAAAAATGGAAACAAATCTAGACTCCTCCTGGGGAGTGCTGGGAGTCTGTCTCAGGAGCCCCAGGGGAAGGACTGAGGGTCCAGATCCTGGACCATGGCCAGCTCCAGATGGTATCTGGAGCTTTCCCTTTCCATCTTTTTCCTGCAGAAACCACTGTGAGAGGCTCAGAACAAGGGTCCGGTTCCACCAACCAACAAAGGCATGGACGCCACAACCCACCCACAGTGGACTGACGTGAGTAGTAGGGAGCCCAAGAGAGACCGAAAGGAACAGAGTAGACAGAGCCCTTAGAATCTGCCTGGAGAAGGGAACATGCCCCATGAGACTCCTGGGCATCCCGGCATTCGGGAAGAACTACTCGTGACCATTCTGTGCTCAGAGAAAGGTTCCTCCCACCTGCACAGCCTCAAGTACATCAAGCAAGGTTCGGACAGAGACTCTGCCTGGTGCTGCTGCTCACCTTTGCCGCCTGCCTCCACCTCTCCACCATGGCAAGAGTGACAGGAACAGGATCACTCTTCTTCCCCTTCAGTCCTCTGGGGGCTCTGTCCCCATCCTCCTCACCTTCCATTTCATCCTCCTCATTTGCTTCCTGCATCGGACACAGAAGGGCCAAGCTGGGCCAGGGTGTAGAGACCCCAGGCGCCCCCTCAGCTCTGCCCAGGTCCTCACCTCCAGCACATCTGGCAGGGAGTGGAACTGCTCCTCATCCTCAGAGCTGTCCGAGTCGCTAAAGTTCAGCAAGCTCTGGTCATTCTGCTGCAGAAACTTGTAGAACTCAGGGTCTTTGTCCTTCAGCCGAGAGAGCTGGTCCTTGTGCTCTGAGGCACGGCCTTTACGCCGGCTAAGAAGGTGGAAGTCAGCAAGCCCAGTGGGAAGCCAATGGAGGGCCAGGCCGGGGAGGGGAGAAAAGCAGGTTTCTAGTTCCCCGCCCAATGCCAGCTTGCTGGGCTCCTCAGAGAGACCACAGGGGTTAGTCTACTTCCTCCATGACAGCTACCAACAACCAAGGCAGGGGGATTTCCAGAAGATAAGTTTTCAGTGGACTCACCTGTCTTCTCAACTCCAGACTCACACTCAACAGCCTCTCTAACACTCGGTTCAACACGTGCATCGCCAACCCAACACACACGATGACCAACTGTGCTCTCCCCCAGACCTGCTCTCCACCTCCGTGCTGGCAATGGTAACTCTACCTTTCTAGGCATTCAGGCAAAAGGCAAACAAACTTGTCCTTTACAGCCACGACAGGACCTGTTGTTAAATCCCGTCAGTACCACCTTCAGAACTACTTATGCTTTTCTTAAACCACGACTCTTGATTGACACGATGACCTCTCGCCGTTCCCACCCTCACCAACTACAACCCAGTCTTGGCAATGGCCACCCCAGGGACCCCAAGTTAGTGTAACGTGATGTCGCTTTACTGCTCAAATCCTGAAATCACTTCCCATTTTACCAAGACCTCCCATCAGGTCGGCAAGATCTGACTCCTCTGCTCCTCTCTCCTCTACCACAACCGCACTCCTGCAGGGTCCTCGCGTGCTCCCGCTTCAGCGCCTCTGCTGTTCCTGTTGCCTGAAACTCCGAGACCCCCTGCCCTCCCGTCTGCACGGCTTACTCCCTCAGGTCTTCATCAGACACCGTCTTCCCCAACAGCCTCCTCTACTTCCAAGAGAGCAACGCAACGCCCTGCAACCTCCCTCTGGCTTGTTTTCCCCTCTCGCGCCACAGCACTCATTTCTTCCAGCGCGGTACGCGTTGTGATTTACCCAAGGCCCAGCGCGCTCTCCCAGACCGGAGACGGACCTCTGTATCATTCACTACCGCACGCCCACGCCCCAAAGCGAGATTTTGGCTCCGACCAAGAGCCAAACACCGCGTGAAAAAATAAGTTAGGCCAGAGCAACTGGGGCTAGAGCTCAGAGGTCCCGGGCCTTGGCCCTGAGGCCCCGGCAAGGTCGGCATGTCTGCGGCGGGGCAGGCCGGGGCGAGGAAGGGGGCTCGCTTACGCACGGCCCTAGGGAAGGGGCGTCCGCTCACCTGGCCGAGGGGCTCCCGCCGGGCCTTCCCGCGCTCCGGGCAGCAGATTCGCGCGACCCCCGCACCTCAGCTTCTGGGGCGCCTTCGGGCTCCGAGTCGGACTCGGAGTCAAAGCCCGAGGCCAGGAACTCGTCCACTGTCAGTTCCGCCAGGTGCCTGCGGTCACGCCGGAGTCAAGGCTCCGCGCCAGCCTGGCTCGCCCGCCCGCTGCCCCAGCCACGCCGAAAGGCACACAGAGCCTCCCAGACGTCGGTACCGCGGGGAAGCCGGTTAACCCGCGCCCTCGTCTTACCTCTTGCGGCTCCGCGCCGCCGCCATGACACCCGGCCCACGGCGTGCGCCCCACTTCCGGCCCCAGAATGCCGTGCGCGAAATGCACTTCCTCTGGCTGGCCCCGCCCCCGACACGCCACGCCCAGCCGTGTGGCTCTGCGGTTCTCCGACCGCGACAGCGGCGGCCTCCACGCGGGAGGGCGCGTTCGCATCCTCAGTGCCGGCGTCCTTCCGTGGGGTCTCCGGATGGGGTCCCGACGCGCCGCTCCCGGCTCCGTGCCCCTCCTCGCTCAAAGCCCACCCAGGACTCCGTGAAAGTGGGCACGTGCCTGTGAGGATGCCCAGGCTGCACCGATAGACCTGACGTGGGGACTACTCCTATGCAAAAAGCTCTCACAAATCAACAATACAAAGCCGGCGATCCAGTAGAAGAAACGAAGGGGAATAGAAACCGCAATGTCGAGCCGGCGTGGCGACGCCTGTGCTCCCAGCCGCGCGGGACGCCCGAGCCCAGGAGCTGGAGGCTGCACTGACCCGTGATCCCGCCACTTTGCTCTGGCCTGGGCGACAGAGCCAGACCCTCTCCCCGAAAAGAAAGGAGGGGGCGCCGATGGCCTGGACAGGCAGCTGGCGGGAAGACCGACGGCCGGGCCGGCCTCGCCCCGGTCCAGTCGGGAGGAGCGCGCCTGGTCGCTGCCGCCTGGTCGCTGCCGGGCGCGGGGCGGCGGTGGGGGCGGCTGGGGCGCTCCTCCGCTGCCGTCCGTGGGGCCGCCAGCGGGCCAGAGGCCGGCGCCAGCGCTCCCCGACCGGCCTGGGACCAGGCAGGGTGCGCGGGCCTGGACCAGCC